GCACTGACCGAAGCCTCTCCTCGCAGCACGGCAGCGTTGCCCCCGGGCCCGGGCCCCCAGCCCTGCGCCATGGCACTGCTCACCCATCTCCTCGCCTGCGTCTTCGGCACGGGCTCCTGGGTGGCCATCAACGGGCTGTGGGTCGAGCTGCCGCTGCTGGTGTCGGTGCTGCCGGAGCAGTGGGACCTGCCCTCCTACATCACCATCATCATCCAGATGGCCAACGTGGGGCCGCTCTTCATCACCCTCATGCACCGCTTTCGGCCCGGCTTGCTGAAGGAGGTGGCTGTTATCTACGTCATCGTGTCCGTGGGTGTCATGGCCTGCTTGCTCCTGGCCTTCCTCTGGAACTACACGTCCCCCATCGCCGGGAGGCCCCACAGCACGGCCTTCCTGCTCCTCACCTTCTTCCTGGCCCTGGTGGACTGCACCTCCTCCGTCACCTTCCTGCCCTTCATGATGCAGCTGCAGCCCCAGTACCTGACCACCTTCTTCATAGGCGAAGGGCTCAGCGGCCTGATCCCCGCTCTCATCGCCCTGGGACAGGGCTCCGGCGTCTCCAGCTGTGCCAACGTCACCCGCGTGGTCAACGTCACCATCGGCAACGAGACCGTGGAGAGCACCGTCTTCCAGCTGGAGACCCGCTACCTCCCGGCCAACTTCTCCACCCTCCTCTTCTTCCTTCTCATGACTGTAATGATGCTGGCCTGCTTGCTGGCCTTCTTCTTCCTCACCAGGCAGCCCAAGGTGTGGGAGCTCTCCCAGCAGCAGCTGTTTCCCAGCAACATCATACTGAACTCATTTGACCAGCTCCCCGACGAGGGAGCTGACTCGCAGCTGAGCGGAGGCTGCCCATGCCCGAAGGATGCCAAGGGACCCGGGGACATCCTGCCGGAGAAGGTCTCCTACCCCCTGCCCAAGCTCACCTTCATCTATCTCCTCATCGCTTGGGTGAGCAGTCTGACGAACGGGGTCCTGCCGTCCGTGCAGTCCTACTCCTGCCTGCCCTACGGCAACACCGCCTACCACCTCGTGGCCACGCTCAGCTCCATGGCCAACCCCCTCGCCTGCATCGTGGCCATGGTCCTGCCCAACAGGTGGGTAGCGGGGTGCTGGAGATCACAGCACGGTGTACCCCGGGGGGTTTCCCCCAAAGAACAGCCCCTGCTTTGCAGTGGGCAGGGGGAGAAGGCACCGGGTGGGTCTGTGGGGTGCCCGTGCCCTGGCGGCAGAGACACCCCAGTAAAGGAGGATGGAGCCAGCACAGAGCCGGTCACCCCAGGCAGCATTCCCCGGTGTCACTCGCATGTCCCTTGCAGGTCCCTGGCCCTGCTGGGCACCCTCACCATGGCGGGGACGGGCTTTGGCGCCTACAACATGGCCATCGCGGTGATGAGTCCCTGCCCGCTCCTCCAGCAGTCCCAGTGGGGCGATGCCATCATCGTAAGTCACGGGGTCCCTCTCACCCGGGG